TTTTTTTGAAGCTTGTTCCGCTGTTTTTCCTCTTGGTTCTTGTTTCACCTACCACGGCTCTATCTCACCCAGGTAAGGAGAGTCAGCGGCCCGTGGCCCACGAGTGTTTAGGGGAGGTGCTTCGGATTTTGCGCCAGGTCATCAACACTTATCCTCTGCTCAACACCGTCGAGATCCTCACTGCTGCCGGCAAACTCATATCCAAGGTCAAAGGTAGACGGACTCTTCTGTTTTTTTAGATGCACGTCTTTGAAAGTCTCGATGTAAATCTGAGGTGTACAATGACGGTAAAACCCAACATCACTCTGTAACTACTCTTGACCACGACTGAAAGCTGAACACATGTACGATTTTCCAGGTTTCCACTATGAGTCCTCTAACGAGGCTGATAAAAAGGACTTTGAGAAGGCAATTGAAACCATTGCTGTCGCTTTTAGTAGCAAGTAAGTATCTAAATCAGCTTTTTATTCATATATAAAAGTAAAACGCTGTCAAAAGCTGCTTCTGTTGCTTATCAGTAGCTTCTAAGAATGTATTTCAGTGGCAGCGAAGCTTTAGTGGTGTCCAGGAGGCTATCGTTCACACACAGGCGGCTCAAGTGGTGTGTAATTGTAGATATTATTACGAACAAAGTAGTCTGCTGTTGGGAATGAGAGAGAGAGAAGTGCAGTGATGGTGACACATTTGCATGAGACAAAGCTGAAAACAGGAAGTGGGTTTTCTTCTACCGTATGACAAAAAACCAAAAGTAGAAAATGCTGTTGACTACCTGCCTGCTAAATGAACAGATTGCAGACCAAAGAGATGATACATCGTGGGAACACTGGGTTGATTTGAGCTACCTGAGAATAGTTGAGATCAAAGGAACTGGCCTTTAAATTTGCTTTTGTTTCCTGTAACTTTTTGTATTTTTTTTTTTCTAATAGTAATGTCAAATGACTATATATTTTTTTTTTTAATGGCAAAGGAAAAATACTAAAAGCTGAAGTATAATTGTGGCGTATCGTACCAGGATTTTATCGCATGCCTGTCTGTGCCATTTTAGGGTTTACACAACTGTCACACAGCTTCAGGAGGAAGTGAGCTGGCAGAGACAGTTGAAATCTGCCATATGAGTCTGTTTCCTCATTCTCTTCTCTAGCCTTCCTCTGTATGACTCGATTTTGACATGAATGCAAAGACGGAAAAATCTAGCGTTGTCGTTTGGCCTGCATTTCAGCACATAGGATGGTTGCAAGAAAATAAAAATGACTGTTACCAAATGACATGATTTTAGGGGGGGGGGGCGAAGGAAAGCTGGTAGACTAACACAAACTGGCACGAAACTTGCTTATCACCTTCAATCTGCAGTGTACCTGTGGAGGTTTCGTAGAAGGCCTGGCCTTCTTCCTCTCTACTGCTTTCTCTTTTGAAATCCATTTTACGCTTTTTCTCTCTCTGCAATTCAACAACGATTTTACGTTTGTGTGACGGAGTCTCTGTGTTTCTCTTCAGTGTGTCTGAACTGCTGATGGGAGAGGTGGACAGCAGCACGTTGCTCTCCTTGCTGCCTACAGAGAAGAGCAGAGTGAGTTTGTCACCTATATGTCACACATGCCAACCAAAAAGAAAAGTTACTTAATGTGGTGGTTACGCAAAAAGCTCCTTGATTAAATTAAACGTCACTGCCCACAAAATGACTCCCACACCCAAATTTCTGCTGAGTGTAAGGGAGAAGAAAAAAAAGAAAAATATCCTCCAATTCTAGCGAGTAAAGCTTCGTGTTTATGCCGTTTTAGTCCATGGAGAACTTGTACACTGGTTCTGGCCATGGAGGAGATGGTGGACATTACAGGAGCGACCTGCAGGACATGGGTAAGCATAAAGGTGCCGTACAGCTTTTGCTTTCAGTTAATCACAGGTGCTGCTTTGCATAACAGTGTAACCTC